CTGTCCTTTGCCTTTGGGCTTGGCGGCGGGCTGTTCGGCCTTGGCAGCGGGCTGGGCTTCGGCCTCGGTGGCGGGCTGGGCTTCGGCCTGGGTGGCTTCGGGGGTGGCTTCGGCCTGGGTGGTTTCGGGGGTGGCTTCGGCCTGAGCGGCAGCCTTTTGAGCTGCTTCCATCTTGTCAAAGTCGGGCGGGGCCTTGCAGGCTGGCTTCTCGCCCGGAAACTCCGACGGCTGTCCGGGCTCGTTGTCACGCCCTTCCTCGTCCGGGTCGATCTCCTGGCTACAGGAATGCGGGAACACGCAGTTTGTGCTCTGTCACACTGATCAAGCACCGCGCCACTGTTCCCGTCCACCCAGCCTCGTCCTCATTTTCGTCGGACCCGGACTCCTCGGACTCGCCGCCCTCAGCCTCATCCTCGGCCTGGGCCTTTCTGTCCACCTTTCCACTCCACCCAAGTCCGCCGGGCATCGTCTTATCTTAGTCAGCACGAAGCAGCAAGTCTGTCACGCAGGGCAGGCCGGATCACAGAATTGAAAAGAATCGAACCAAGTGCTGCCAGAAGGCTGAGATGGTGGATCTTCTCGCGGCAGTGGGTTGCGATCAAGGCGGAGGGATTTTTGCGGTTCTTCTTGATCTTGTACCCACGTCGGTGGAACAGAACCTGGGTCACAGCAACCCCAAACGCTAAACCCTTTTGCATCCGGGATTGGGCAGTAACTTAACCCTAAACCCTAAACACTTATTAAACCCCAAACCCTCAACCCTTATTTATTAACCCTTAAACCCTATCATCTAAACCCTACACCGACCCTAAACCCGCACCCCTAAAACCGCCCTAAACCCTAACATTCTCAAACTGTCGTTTACAGGTCACAGTCTGGACAAGCAGCCTGTCGGACGAGCTTCGGCGTCAGGGCATGCGCGAACGATGCCCCAAGCGGCGAGTGGTGCAGCAACGCGGAGATCGACTCAGATGACAGGTAGAATTGAAGTCACTCAAGGTTAATAGTCAGAAGTCTGTCTGACTTTGACGGACATTCCCCCCTTGCATGCCATCCCAGACACGCACCAGCTCAAATCATCGCACCGGAGCACCTGGCACAAATACTCCAGGTGGGGCGCCTTCTCGCCCACAGCGGTCTTGACCTGTCGCTGTTAAACTTTAAACCCTTAAATCGTAAACCCTGACACCCCAGACCCCCCCCCCCCCAAACCAGCACTGAAAGTCGTCGGCCTTGCTGAGGTCCCCATCTCCGACGGGCGAGTAGTACGCGGAGTTCATGTAGGCTTCACGTGCTTCTTCACCAAGTCGGGCTTGGGCCTCACGAGCAAATTATAGGCTTTAAGGTTTAGGCCTGAATTTGCGCACATTATTCAATCATCTGGGAGCGCCTGGGGGTCCCCGGCCAACACACCAAATGTAATGGCGAGCTTTTCCAGTCTTTTCCTTTCGGCCGCATCTGCTGGAACCCCACGACGAGTTGACATGGCTTTCGACCCAGCTGCCAATTCAATCAAGGCTGCTACGGTCCGGCTACTGTTTCAAAGCTGCTACGGTCTGAGCTGCTGCCACTTGACTTCAAGGCTGCCAACTGAGTACTAGTCTGTCACGTGGCTACTACTGTCAGTCACGTGTCATGGAACTGTCTGTCACTGTGACTTCGACACTTGAAGCCAGCCGGACGCTTGAACCTTCGTTCTGAGGGGATCGTGCGTGATGCGTGGCGCAGCAACACTGTCTCAGCCCGACCGCAATCTCAGGACGACAAGCAGTGTCAAGCAAAGTCACGGGCCTTGGAAGATCACATCGTGCAGCAGGGGTGACCGCGGTTCAAGGCCTTGGCTGCATGTCAACTAGCCTACTCGTGGGGCAACAACCAACGGCCAATGAACAGCCGTTCCTCGTCGATCAGACAGGATCTGGCGACACTGCACGGACGTTGTGCCAGGCAGCGTCCTCTCAATGAGACCATCACGAACTAATAGTAATCTACAAAATTTCTGGAATCATCAGTCATGAAATTGCGAGTTTAAAACTCACAGCTCTGCCTCGGTCTTGAACGGGAGCAACAAGAACCACCAGGATGGAGGACCTTGGCATTACAGCGGCTAGTATGGACAGTTGTTATGTATCGAATCAACATGAAACACGGTAAACAGGGTTTATATCTTGTACCCCCAAATGGACACCCCATATAATATACACTCACCACTACATTAAAGGAACCTTGTAGTTTACTAAATTTAATATAGACAATTTCGCCTTACTTAATAATATAATCAATGACGAGCGGCTTCGTCCTGCTGTGTGTCAGGCGTAGGCGTATGGTCGGGCCATGCATTTCCTTAGCTGCACACAGTCGCAATGGTCGGCCTACTCATTTTCGCCTTAAATACCAGTCAATGACGAGCGACGAGCGGCTTCGTCCTGCTGTGTGTCAGGCGTAGGCGTCGGGCCATGCATTTCCTTAGCTGCACACAGTCGCAATGGTCGGCCTACTCATTTTCGCCTTACTTAATACCATTCAATGACGAGCGGCTTCGTCCTGCTGTGTGTCAGGCGTAGGCGTATGGTCGGGCCATGCATTTCCTTAGCTGCACACAGTCGCAATGGTCGGCCTACTCATTTTCGCCTTAAATACCAGTCAATGACGAGCGGCTTCGTCCTGCTGTGTGTCAGGCGTAGGCGTCGGGCCATGCATTTCCTTAGCTGCACACAGTCGCAATGGTCGGCCTACTCATTTTCGCCTTACTTAAATACCATTCAATGACGAGCGGCTTCGTCCTGCTGTGTGTCAGGCGTAGGCGTATGGTCTGGCCATGCATTTCCTTAGCTGCACACAGTCGCAATGGTCGGCCTACTCATTTTCGCCTTACTTAAATACCATTCAATGACGAGCGGCTTCGTCCTGCTGTGTGTCAGGCGTAGGCGTATGGTCTGGCCGTGCATTTCCTTAGCTGCACACAGTCGCAATGGTCGGCCTACTCATTTTCGCCTTACTTAAATACTATTCAATGACGAGCGGCTTCGTCCTGCTGTGTGTCAGGCGTAGGCGTATGGTCGGGCCATGCATTTCCTTAGCTGCACACAGTCGCAATGGTCGGCCTACTCATGTACACGCAGACCTTAAAGAGCCTCATTATGGCTTAAGGTCCAGGTTTAGGGTTTCGGTCCGTTTACAGTCAAGCTGTCTCTGCCAACTTTAACTCAATCAGCTGACCCTGCGATGCACTCAAGGCCGAGCTGTCTATCTCTCTGACTGCAATACCTGGTTGAATGCCCTTCGATCTCCTGTGTCCCTTTCGGCGTGACAGCAACCAGCTGACCACTGCCCGTCAACCCCTAAACCTATCTTAAAACTTATTGGACAGTCTTTCAGTTTTAAAACTTATTACACTGTCTTTCATGAACCCTATTAAATTAGGGCCTTAGGGTTGCGGGCCAAAACGACGGTCAGGGTCAGAGGTCGGTCCTCCAAACAGCCTCAGTCGGGCAGCACAAGGGGGCTGGGCAGCATTCGCCTATCGTTACATTCCGTTTCGGCCAGGATTCAGAACTCGAGTCGGGCTTCTGGGAGATGCGATTTTCCGACCCCGAGTGACAATGCCGGGACGTGCAAGCACGGTCCCACCCCCTGTGTCAGGGAGCCATTCGGGCACTGGCATCACGGAGAAGGGCACGCACCACCACGCAGTATCCGAGTCGAGCATTCTGCGTCCGACCTACTTTGGACACCTAAGCGTGATCTAGAGCGGGTCTTCATCAGACAATCTCATTTCTCTTTCGTTCTCCACCGCTCTTTCGGATCACGCACTTCCTCTGGGCCTTTAGACAGACTAAAATGGCGCTAGTTAGTATGCGAGCCTCAACGGTCCTATTTTTTCACTACGGGCGAGCCTTGAGCCTTTACACAATGACCGAGTCATCAGTCAAAGTGGCCGCCCTTTCGGGCTGCAGGACCCTTCTCGGGCCGCCTAGTTACAGGTTAGACTAGATTACCGGGCCCCCAGGGGAGGGGGGGTTTGGGGCCATCCTCAGTGAACGGACGGCCCCAGCCCTCATCGGGCAAGAGGCTGGGGCATTCTTTCGAACAGCCCCAGCCCCAAAGGCGTCCTCAACGGACAGCCTCAAGCCCTTTCGGGCCACATGGTCCCTTTCGGGCCCAGCACCTCATCTCCAGTAGCTCGCCACCACACCTGCGGGTCCTGGCAGCAATCGGACATGGCGCCTGGGCGGATTAGTTAGGGTTCGGGGTTAACGGTTTAAGGGCTAGACAAACCGGTCGGGCTTGGTACTAAGTTTAAAGGGGTCTGTTCGGACTTTTCAGGTCGGGCTTGGTCCTGGTTCTGAAACAGGCCTGTTCGGACTATGTACTAGGACTATGTACTACGTGCTAATAACAGGTCGGGCTTGGTTCGAAGGGCCAGGGGTGTATTTGTTATAGGGCTCTTTTGGTCTTTAAGGGGGAGCAGGACCTGTGGTTGGGGAGCTTCGGCAACCCTGAACTAACCCTAAACCGTAACCCTAAACCTTGCAGTCGAGCATCGCATCGGTCTCGGTCACCACAGTCAGAGAAAGGGAGGGGGCTTCTGGGCCACAAGAGGCTTCGGGGCTTCGGGCGAACCTTATTATCGGGATAACTTGAATCGCTCTAAAGTCACAACATCGGGCGACGGCAATCGTACTGATTCTCTTTTGAAGCATTGCTTGGGCTCACACAGGAGGCTTAGGGTTTAGGGTTTAGGGTTTAGGGTTTAGGGTTTAGGGTTTAGGGTTTAAGGTTTAGGGTTTAGGGTTTAGGGCTTAGGTTTAGGGTTTAGGGTTTAAACATATATAATACTAATATTAATATTCTGACACAGCACAACATGCAAAAAATTAAAAAATTAACGCTATTTAGCCCTAAGTTCAGAGAAGCCCGAGCTAATGTTAAGTCAACAGCGGAGCAGCACAGCAGCCAATGGTACCATACTGTCGATATGAGGGCTTTGAGGTCTGGACTCCTTCTTTGGAGCATTCACCTGGCGTTCTGCTCTTCTACGATCCGTTCCGATAGGAGACATGCTGATGAGGGCAGCGAAACAAGCAGAGTGAGCCGACAGCCACTGGCTGATCATGTCCCGTACATTCTGGGCCAGCACTACACCCTGCTCGTCGGCCTACACGGCGGAGCATGTCAGATTATACGGACAGCTGAGGATAGCCATCAAGAGCCTCGCGAACACCTGCCATAACTTCGGCATGATTGCCCGCCTGCCAACTCTTTGCGCATGCGCATGTGCCGTCTGCGTCACATGCGTCACGCATCCGGAAAGGTCATGTGCGCCTCGATGCCTGCCCGAATGCGGAGCAGCGGTGCCTGAGAGGCGGTGGCCCCCGGCGCGGCTGGTGCCACCGGCGCCGCCCCTGGGGCAGTGCCGGGTCCAGCCTCGGGAATGCAGAAGTCCTCAATGCAAGCCCATAACAAAGTTCCACGACATATCACGACATCTATCTGCTGGGGAGGTGTTGCAAATCTATGTCATGTAACATGTCAGTTTGCATGGGCTCAATACTTCTAGACTCTAGACGGAGACTTCCCTTAAGTAGTTTTCTTCTTTACGCAGCGAAAAATGAAGGCAGATGGCATACTCTAGCATGCTCTGCTGCGCAGCCAATCTGTCACGACTCAAGCCGTGCTCCAGGGCTCGAACGATGCCGGGAGGACCTTCGGCTGAAGAGCTCCCCAAGCAAGGAATGCGAATGCAAAGAACAAAAAGCGAGCCAGCTTTGCTCATTGCGGGTGGGAATGCTCCATTGCACCCACATCCTGCACAGCCTGAGAAAGCAAGGAACCATTTGCATGACTTAATCACCCATGCTGCATCTGCACATTCTCAGACCCTGGCCAGTGCTTGCAGCAGGGGAGAACCCCTTCAAGCATGAACGTGCGCCCAACATGCTCTCTGCAAGACACCGAACACACGAGGGCTGGGGAATAAGCATCTCAAGGAACGGGACCCGAGAGAGCAGAGACGTCACCGGCTCCAAAGCAGCAACAGCAACTGAAGCGTACTGAAGCTATCGATGTCCAGACCCTTCTCCTGACTTCCCAACACTAAGGACTCCCAAGAAAGAAACCAACTGCCCCCCCGAGAGCTACAGGCATTATGTACGACTGTTGATACTGACTGTTGAATACTGTTGATACTGTTGGAGCTTCTTCGACTCGTCTCTTCAAGCCTCACAAGACAAGATCCGAGCCTGGAACTGCATGCTAGAACCGGCTGTATGTTCAGGATGCGTGTGCTGTTGGCTTTGCTGGTCTGATAATGCTAGTGCTACAATGACTGAAGCTCACCCGCAGCATCTGGAGATTACCCTCAATGGCCATGCATGTTTCTTGCTGCATACTATCTAACTACAAGAGAGTACCCATGGTGCATAATTGCCGATACCGGCGTCCGATGGTAGTCAGCATAGGCATTGCAGAGCCGTCCATGGAAAGCAACTTCATGGCTGCAGGGAACGGCTTGTCTGCAATGGCAACTCGCTTGCTTGCGTCAAGCATTCGCGCTATCAATCAAAACCCGTGGCAAAACACATGAAGGTGCCGCATGTCGGTGCAAAAGAAGGTGGTTCTACTTCTGATTTTGATTCGATGCCGTACAATGGCATTCCTTGGCTCTTCGAGTGCTTTGGTCTGCATGGTCACGGTTTGTGCCCATTGTCGCTTCGGTGCCCGGTCGGTCTTCAGCTCGCCAGCTCCTCCAGCAACGAGCCTTCATCAGCCAGCTCCTGTGAACATGACAGGTTGTGAGTTGCGATTGCGCGCGCCCTGGGCCCTATGCCCTGCATGACTTCACTAAGCGACATGAACGGAAGCAGAAGCCTTCAGAATGTCCAGTCCACCCACCAACTTTCCAGCAGCATAGACCTCCATTTATAGTTTCCAACCACTTCGGCTCAAGGCACTGACACCCACAAGCGTGCCAAACAACAGCCTGAGGGTAAGTCGGCCAGTTCGAGTACTCTTTCAGTCCTTGCCGAACCTCCTATCAGTTTGCGCAGCTGAATGAGGAGAAGACCAAGCACTCTTCATGCCTGGCCTCATCACCAAGAATATCGAAGCTGTCAAACCTGAAGGTTGTGCGGCACAATCCAGTCTTACACATCCTCCTGCAAAACGTGGATGGGGAGCAAGCATCAAACACATGGGAAAGTCAAACTAGACAAAAAGTATAATCATCGCAGCACAATTCTTTCACGAAAACACAACACAGTTTGCGACCGACTTGCAATTGTTTGGCCCACTGTAGGAAAATATTTACGGAAGATGAGGCAGGTTAAACATAGGTTTTCTGAGCAAAAGCTACTCAGCTACTACCAAACCTTACATACGATCCAAACAAGTAGAAAAGACGTGAGGGTTCTAGGAACCCCAACACGTGTCAGCAAAAGGCGGCGGCGGGGGTCGTACAAATCATCACGCACCCAACAGACGAAAGAGCGGGCACCTAAACCGAAATCCCTACCAAAAACACAGCATCATAATGAGAACACATCAACAGCCTGCAAAACCTGGACCCGAATACCCTACAAGCACTGAACGCCAGAAAACCTCAAAAAAAACCACACACGAACACCATAAAGCACGCTAAAAACCTTCTAACCCGAAACCTCCTGAAAACTCGCAAGCCCTAAACGTCCAAAACCGTCATCCCGAGACTGTTAAGTGCTCCCCTAAAACCCTAAAAACACCTAAGACTTAGTTAGCTGCAAACCCTAAACATCCCTAAACCCTCACAGCGATAAAGACGTTCAACATCACTTCAAACTCTCAAAACCCTAGCAACCCGAAAAAACAAAAACTCAAAACCCTGAAGACGAAACCGAGACTCCTAAACCTAAAATGATGCCAAAGACCGAAGAACTAATTTTAAAAAAACAACTCCCCACGGGAGGTTTACTGAGCGCTGCCTTTTTGGTTGCGTTTCTGTTCGCACCGTGCCGGCCGATGTTTCGTGAGCTTTTCCATAAATTGGGGACCTCTTCAAACTGACCACTTTTGATATTTCTGCGGCTTTTGGCTTTGGAGTGCTTGGATACAAGTTAGTGTTTGGGGTGTGGCGTTGATTCCTTACAGCTTGCTGTACAAAGAGACTCACAAAGGCAAAAAAACTGTACACGAGCAACGCCCCCATCTATGCCCACCACCGCCCACACCTTCTCCAGGGGGTTATCGCGGTGGCAGCGAAGCTCCAGGCACTTGCGCACACAAAACGTCACCAGCTAGCACGAACGATCCCGGTCTTCTGCTGCTTTAAAACGAATGGCGAAATCCCGCCATCCGGGAGAAAAACTTTAGCCTTCGGCCAGCTCTCGCACAAAAAACCATGATGAAAACAAAAACCCAAAGTCTTGGAAGCGAAGCCCACAACCTCAAACACCATAGAGCCCCTAAGAACATATTCAACAGCCTACAAACCCGAAGAACCGAAACTAAATTACAAGCCCTAAACACAAAAACCCTCCAGAAACACGCAGGGGCCAAGAACCCCGAATCACTAAAGCCCACAAACCCTAAACGGCCACAAACACAAAAACATTAACACCGAAACCCAATACCCTAAACTCCTACTCCTACATCTTGCAAAGTGTAAAGGCCATGAAGTCAATCAACAACCATCAATGCCAACAAAAAAACACACCCCAAACCCTAGCCACCCTATAAAGCCTAACAGCCCTCAAAGCCTAAACGCCCTAAAGCTCAAGAACCCTGACAATTTGAAACCCGAAGCCCCCAAGCGCTAAAACCATACACCCCTAACACCCAAAGACCCAAATACACACAATGTCAAACACCCTGCAAACACCAAACCGAAAAATCACAAGGTCCTCAAAGCCCTAGACGCGAAGCCCTCAACCTCAAACACCATTAACACTACGGACACCGAGCCCTAAGAACACATTCGACAGCCCACAAACCCTGAAAAACCTAAACTAAATCGCAGGCCCTAAACCCGAAGACACGCCAGAAACACGTAAGGGCCGAAACCCCCAACATCACTAAAGGCCACACACCCTAAACCGCGAAAAACAAAAAAAAACATAAACACCCAAACCCCAAACCCTAAACTCCTATGCCTTGCAAAGACGTAAAGGCCATGAAAACACTAAGCAACCATCATTGCCAACAAACAACACGCCCCAAAACCCTTTAAAGCCTAAAGGCCCTCAAAACCTAAACACCCACAGTGACAATCTGAAACCCCAAGCCGCCAAGCTCTAAAACCATACACCTTAAAACCCCAAACACCCCAAAGAACAAAATATCAAACACCCTGCAAACCCGAAACTGCATTCACAATCAGAAAGACCGCAAAATCCCAGACGCGAAGCCCTCAACCTCAAACACCATAAAGCACTACGGCTAAACACCCAAACCCCGACCGAAAGGCCGCGACATCACACAACAACCATCAACGCAACCAACAAAAAACACCCCAAACCCTAACCACCCTATAATGCCTAAATGCCCTCAAAACCTAGACACCGCAACGCTTCAAAACCCTGACAAACTGAAATCCCAAGCCCACAAGCACTAAAACCATACACCTTAAAGCCCCTGCAATCCTGCAAAAACCTAAGCTACATTCCAACCCCTAAACCCGAACAGCCTCCAGAAACACACTCTTAAACCGCTTCAAGCAAAACCCTAAACACCCAAAATCCGAACCTAAACTCCTACATCTGGCAGCAATTTCAAACGTAAAGGCCGTGAAAACACTCAACAACCATCAACGCCGACCAACAACACGCCCCACCACCCTATGAAGCCTAAAGGGCCTCAAAACATAAACACCCAAAAGCTTTAAAACACTGACAAACACTGACAAGCTGAACCCCAAGACCACAAGCATATCCAAGATCCTACAAGCCTTACACCACGAAAAATCATAAGAACCTTCCAGACCCTAAACACATAACCCAAAGTCCTAAGACTCCTGAACCGTAAAAACCCTAAAACTCGAACGACATGTCTTTTCTTGGAAAGAAACACATCAAAAGCTTGCAAGCTCTGAATCCACAAAACACCAACCAAAAAAGGCAGCCTAAGAACCCCAAACCCTAAAATCCCAAACCTTAAAAACGCTCAACTCCAACATCCTCTATAACCACTTTGAACCACAACAAACCTTCAAAACCCCAAACCCAAGACTCCTAAAACCCTCAACATCTAAGAACCCCAGAAGACGCCCACCACACTTAAAGCTCTTGCCTTTCAGTGACAAAACAAAACTCTCGGGCGAGGGTCGAGTCAGAAAAACGACTCGGAAACGCCAAAGACCGAGTCAGAAAACAAGGAAGACCGAGTCAGAAAACGGAAAGGCGCGAGTCAGAAAACCAAGGAGACGCGAGTCAGAAAACAAGACAGTGAGTCAGAAAACGGCCCAAGCACACAAAGGTTAACCTCTACAACGAAACGTAATGTTTGCTCAGTGGCCGTCTAGCTCTTCTAGGACAGGTACCTACTTTATAGGAGTCTACCGAGAAATTTATAGACCCCTACCCCTACCCGTTTATCCTCCGGGGCCAGCTACAGGGGTCTACCGGAAACCGATTGGTACCTAGGATAGGGTCATAGGGGGCGCTGACATAGATCCCGATGCGGGCGATGGACCCTATCGTTTTCGGATATGTCCCTACGCACGTCAAATGTCTGGAGGTTCCGCGCATAAACACCCCTAAACCCTTCACCCTAAAGACCCCTAAACCCTGAAACCAAAAACGCCTAAAGCAGAAACCCTAAAAACACCTTAAACCCTAAAAAAACTAAACCCTAAAAAAGCTAAACCCAAAACCCTAAAAGCCCCCAAAACGGTAAACAACTCTACATCCCAAAAACCCCCCAAACCCCGAATGCTGAACCCCACCCGCAGAACCCCGAGGCCTAAACGTCAAAAAACACCAAACCTGAAACCTAAACAAACCCATAAACTGTAATCCCTAAAAAGAAAGCCCCCTAAACCCTAAAACCCCTAACCCCTCAGCCTCAAGCGAAACATCCGTGCACCCGAACAACCCCTAAACTCGAAACCCTAAAAACCCGAAACCCAAATAAAAATAAGGCCGAAGCCCCAAAACTCCTGAACACAACATACAGATGATGGGTTCGAACAAAGGAAAAAAGCGGGGGTGGGGGGAGAAGCAGCCCCCCCGTTTGCAAACATAATGCTCGCATGATGGGTTTGGAAAGAATGCCTGACGCAAGCTTGCACGGCTTAACAAGCGGAGGGGTTGAGGCAGCCCCCATCCCAGCTGGATACACAGCACTCGCATGATGGAGCCGCGATAGACCCCGATCCTTTTCAGATAGGCCCCTTTGCCTAGAACCCTTAAGCCCGAAACCCGAAAAAACCCTAAGCCCTAAGCCCTAAAACCAAACCCTAAAATGCCCGAAACCCCAAGCCCTAAAAACCCCTAAGCCTAAACCCTAAAAACCCCAAAGCCCCACACCCCAAAAAGCCCCTAAACCCTAAGCCCTAAAAACCCCTCGAGCCTAAAAACCCCTGAGCCCTAGCCCGAAAAACCCTAAACCCAAAAAAAACCTTAAACTCTAAGCCCGAAAAACCCTAAACCCTAAAATCCCCCTAAACCCTGAACAGTAAAATCCTCCTGAGCCTAAACCAAAAAAAATAAACCCTAAAAACCCCCTAAACCCGAAACCCCAAAAACCCTAAACCCTGAACCCTCAAACCCCCCCCCCCCCCCCAAAAAAAAAAAATGAAAAAACCTAAACCGTCGAACCGCATGGGAGAGGAGGCTGCGGGTTGTCTGGCAGGGGTGCAGGGTGCTTTCGACTCACGTTTCCGGGGGTGTTGTCTGTCGGGGGGTCCATCACGTTTCGACTCAGGGTCCTGCCCTGTTCTCGACTCTCATGAGCACTTTTTCCGACTTGACCTTCAGAACAAAACTCACCCGACTCACCCGTATCGCCGCATCCATACCCGCCAGACCCGCTTCCCCTTGCCTTCTGGCCTTCTTGCCTTAATTCTCGTTTGCCGTCTCGGTGCTGCGCGAATGTTTTCTGCTTTCTAACTCCAAACTCACCAATGGACGAACTCAAGCATCAAAAAACACCGAACAGAGCATTAAAGAAGACATGTATAGTCCCGTGTCGCTGCGTCGACAGACTAAGCTCCTAGACGCGGGGAATTGGGGCAATATGTGGTTACCCTTTTGCTAAAAACTTGGGGATTAGAACCTTAGAGTACCCTAGTGTGGACTCAGCCTTGCGGCTCCTCATTTTGCCAAAAACTCCAAAATGAGGAGCCGCAGGAGCAGGCCCCCCCCACCCCTGGGCCCTTTATGGCTCCTCGGTTTGAACAGCTTGGGTTTTCGATGGCACAGGGTTGATCTGGCCTTGGTATAGGGTACTCTCTTAAGAAGCCAATTTAGACACCAAGCATACCCCTGGCTCAAAGCCCCACGGGTAGATGGGGCAATGGAAACTAAGAAACTTGGGGTACTCTACCGCAGGAAAACGGCTTTCTCGCCTAACGTTTTTTAAACATATGCACAATATGGAAAATTACAAGATTGCACTCTGAAATGCCTGCAAGCTCCAGCACAAAGCATTTCTGATGGAATGCTTCCAAGGTACTGGACGTTGTTCTCAGCAAGAAGGCTGACAACTTTTCTGGAAAATCCGCAGCGGGGCTCGTCTGGTGTGCCCTCATGAACTCAGGATCGATGACAAACACTTTGAAGCTTTAGGTTTAACTGCTTAACTGTGGAGTGGAGCCATGTCCAACCTTCATGAAGAGCATGACCGGAGCTTTGTTGATTAATCCGTGGAGCCTCTCCTGGCATCGTGCTGCGAGCTCCCACGAGCTTCCAGCTACAGTGCACATCATTGCACAGTTGCAGCCGTTGAGGTTGGCATAAGATGGAGATGCATGGAAATATCACATCGCTCAACCTTCTACGCTCACAGCGCCTTCAACAGCCAGTTTCTGTCAGGCCTTTCTTGCATGTTGCCATGTTTGGGCAACTACGAGTACTGGTTGTGCCCAGACTGCTCAGCCCGCCGAAGCGAACTTTGATAATTCAGTCTTGACGTTTGGTGAAGGAGTTCTGACGGACTCAGGTTGTCACACAGGCTTTCCCCTTCGCATGGATGACATGAAACTTAGTAGCCTTGAGGCTGCAAGAAAGATGTCCATCAGGTGGGAAAGACGGCCCAGAACAACAGGCGAATGTGCTGACACACCTGACGAACCACAACTATACGTGATGTGGCTTTGACTCAAAAGGCGGGGAGCTTGAGTGCAGCTGTTGTCGCTGCTTACAGTTACTTAGATCAGCTTGGGGTTGCGCGTCCTGTCACTTACACACATCTTCTGTGTTTCTATTTGCCACGCTTGGTAATATTAATAATACTTGCTGTGCTTTCGAGCAACATGATTCATTTGATTTGTATAAACTTAGACACGAAGTGGCAGTAAACAAGTTTCAACGAATCCGTCCGCTCCTTCCCAATGCTCTCTGTGTGAGACCAACAGGGTCCTGAAGTGGCTGCTCCTTGGTGATCCCGACAGCCTCAAGCAACGAGCCGTCTTCGTCCATCTCCTACCAACGACGGAAACGAACATAAATGAATCGATGACTCCACATGATTCCGCACATGTTCAGTCGACAGAATCGACTGGTTAAAGTTTTGGCCTTCAAGATGTCAACGCCACCCAGAAGCTCACCGTTGATGTACCTGAACAACCGACACATACAGTTTCGTAGGCTGCTACAAAGTGTCCGTGTTCGCTTTCACCTCGCAAAGGTCACGGATGCTGGAGTACTTCTTTTTCAGTGCACAAAATGGGGGGGGGGATTCTGGCGGCAGCTTCCCGAGAACGAGTGTAGGGCACAGTTGCGGATAAGTTTTCCAGTTGGAGAAGTCCTGCAAGACAAGCAGCACAAGGCGTTGATCTGCTGAACAACGCAACTCAAAAATTCGTCCTTCAAGCCCTGACGTACTTCTTCGTCCTGTCGACATGATGTATCACATCTGCCATTTCAGAGGGAACAATGTAGCGAACCGTATAGGAACCACACACCTTCATTAGGTGGTACTTTTCTTGGAAAGACAACAAGTTCGACTCCAACGCGGTAAAAATGTTGTCCGTCCATGGAACCCACAGAACAAGAACGTCCAACAGGGACGACCGAAACCGAACGATGTCTGGTCAATGGCCTGACAACTTCAAAATCAAACCAGGACAAGACGAACAGAAGACAAACCGACGACAGGCGGGTTCAGGCGGCTAACACTTTGTTTGTTTGTGCTTCATAATGTTAAACTGCAAAGGGCAACGTAATTCATGCGAAGGGAGAGGGCGGTGCATCTACAGGGGTACAAGTTTCACTACACCTGATAGTGCGCAGGGAAAGAAACGAGCCATTATGGCGAGCTGTATACGCATAAGTGCAGCAGCACAGACTGAAGCTAGCCGCGCCAAACCCAAACAAAAAAAGAAACTAGTCACCTAGAAATCCTAGAAGAAGATACATATGGAGAGATCATTTCCCTTGCCCTTTCCTCCCGGCCATGGCTCGCTCAAAAGCAGCACATGCTTTGTTTTCAGCTTGTGCCTTACGGCCCCAGGCTGTACTTGCGAGCAAGAGGCACGTTTTGTTTCTTGAAGCGTAGCTTGCGGAACAAACGGAATTAGCAGGCATGTGTCCGGAATATCATACCAAAATTGTTCGGCTATTTTGGCTCCACTGATGTGCACTGCGTGGATCTCGTTGGGTCCACAGCAACTTGTAAGGTTTTCGCGGTTGCAGCCATGGATGCCATGGCTCAGTCTTCGGCCCTTCGGCGCCGATTGCATATGACGACCAACGCGAAATCTCCGATGGATTCCGATGGGAAAGATAGAAGCTTGAAGACGCCGTGGCCAGGGCAGAATCGCTGGCTTCACGCTCAGCGGGGTCTCTCCGTCGTCCCAAGTGGGGCAACTTATCTTCTTCGTGGCCGTGCTCCATGTCACTTGATGCCTTGGCAGTTTTTTACCCCAGAGGCCCCGAGCATTGCAACTTCTTCGTGGCCATTCTTTCTGTCAGGGTTTGTTTCTTGCGGGTTCTTTTCAGAAACTAGGACCTCCACTATTGGCCGTCAATGTGCGCCGGGGTGGGGCTGAATATGTCGGATGTGAGGCGGTGTTCGTTGTGGTACTGTGCATCTTCGTTTTTAGGCTTTAGTTTTTCGTGCAACTTACCAAAAGAAAATCTATCCTGCTCGGACGCTGCGCCAGCATCTTAAGGCTTGCCTGTGTGCTTGGCTCATGGACAATCCTCAGAACTGCAGCTGGAAACATGCTCCAAGCTCTAGTCAATGTTGCGCTTCTTCCCGGAAGAAACTGGCGGACCCATGTGCACCCACTCTCCATTGGACGCGAAGAGAGCTCCCGTACTGCAACAAAGCTCCTGCAGAATGTCAAAGGTTGAGTACTCGATGTTGTGCTTCTCCAAGATTCCGATCGCCTGAACAAAGCAACTGCGCAAACAGCCAAAGCATAACAGCATAGCGAGAGAAGACCCCGATCTGCTCGCGTTTCTGGAACTTGTGCAAAATGTTTCAGGCTGGTCCTGGGTGTTTTACTCCTTTCAGAGAAATTAAACGCTGAGCTTGACAACTTGATGTTGCACGGACGTGGAACACCTGTTGTGGCTTCATGCTAAAAGCTACAGCAGCTGATGAATCTGTGCAAGCGCTTACAAGTCCCAACAATGGCCAAGCAGTTGCTCGGAATTTGTGTTCGTCTCTTTTCACTTTCTTGCACCTTCTGTTGGAGATTGAAGAAACTGCCACAACATTTGCGATTATTGGTCGCTTGTCAACCGAGAGAAAAGCACTGTTTGACAGGTTCGCAATAGGCTCAAAATGTCTCTGAAGAAACAAATTTGGCATACAGTAGTTGACGAAAAGTGTAACTTGAAGTATGTGCAACGAACGCAAATTGCGAGAACAGATGTGTGCCAAAAGCATACGAATGGGCGCATAGGTTCTGGCAGCCAGGGTCCATGAAGTTTCAAATTTGGCCTCGACACAGATTGGGGGAAAACTAATTTCTGGAACGTTTAGGGCTGAGCTCTGGCTAATTTGTATATGGCTATAACGGCGTTCAACGGCGCCCAACCTTTCCAAACATCTGTCCATCCTTGTGCGAATTGTGCTCACACTACATCACATGTGCTCGGTTCTCTTGGAAAGAGGAGGATGTAGGCAGGGAAAGAACCGAGCTTCAAGTTCAGTTTGTTTCAGGCACAAGAATTACGTTAAGTTAGACAGTTTGACCTTATGCTGTCTGTATTCCCAGTCAGCCTGGCCTGATTTCCAGCATATCCCCACATCTTTTCACGACATCGGCTGCTGTGTCACAACAGACCAGCACTTACTGCACTGAAACCTCTGAAACCTCCTCTTTGTGCAAGAGGCCGAGGTGACAGGGCAGGGAGGGGCAAGAGGGGGGGGGGACTTCATGATTGGAGCACGCGATCCCTTTTGCATTAATAAAGATACTTGATTGTGACTCGCAATGAACTTGTTTGATCAGCGTATTTGTTCTTCTATGTCAAACATCTTGCAAGTTGCCAACTGGTGTTTATTGCGCAAATGTGAAATGGAACATTCCGCCTGCTTTCACTTCTTCGATGCGTGATAGACTACCACCGTTTGCATGTGGAATCCTGGTCAGTCAATCTAAGCGAGCAGCTTGAAAAGATACTTCGACATTTCCCACATTTCTGCAAACCGGGTCTGACAGGGAAGGCAATGTGGCGAAAGGGTGCAAGCACGTAGTTTCAGGGGTCGCAGGCGCTTATCTCAGCAAGTGCCTGCTTGGAGAACTTGCAGAAAGGCTCCACTTTCGAGCCCTTCATGAACAGCATGACCTGACCGGCCACAGGCCAAACCAGGCAGGATGGCGCTTAGAAACCATGCGAACGGCCACGGGGCACATGTTCAGTCTTCTGTGCCATGTCCTTTTTACTACACCTAAACCCACCGCTGCCCTGCAACCGAAGCAATGCCAGCGGAGCAGGAAAACAAACCAGGATGACGTCACATGGTAAGTGTCACTCACAGGAGCAGTGCCCAAGGCCAAACAGGACGTGGGCTTTCGGGGCTGGCGGGCTCTCGCCTTCGGCCCTTTGCGCTTTGCACGCTTCAATCGTTCGAATTACTTTCCGCCGTCCGTTGCGCATTTCGCATATTTAGCAGTGTTCGAGATCGCGCTGTCCGCACACCTGCGGTTGTCCGCGCACCTGCGCGCGATTCGCGCACAGGTTTCTTCGAAAACTGGCCAGTGGATTCGCCCACACGAGTTCATGCCCTGACGCGCCGGAATCGCGCACTGACCAGTTGGTGCAGAGGATTCGCCGCACACTGGGAGATGTGTGCGCAGAGAATTCGCGCTCTGGCGCGGCTGATTCGCGCAACAGCCTAGCCCGTGTGCCAAAGCCCTTAACGCTGATGCTTGAAAACTCATCAAGCTTTCGGCATTAAAGTCTTCGCTTCTGAAGTATACCAAAAAAACAACGAGAGCGAGCGAGCGAGCTAGCGAAGGGATGCGTAGTTACGGACCGACACTTTTCTTAGAAGGCCTAGCAAAACTTGCCAAATGAAGAACGCTTTCGTGCAGTCCTCCACAAGAAAAACAGCGAAGAGCTTTTTGATTGACCCAAGCTATCCCCAGCTCGGTTTCGCCAAATCCCGAAAGCAAGCTGAGCTTCATCGAGCTTCGACCTTCGGTTCAGGCCAGCCTCTCTAAAACCAAGTTCTTAGAAGTCTCTGACTCGAATATGCTCTAACCAATCCCCTTCAACCGGACCTACTCCATGATTTAGACCGTTGCGGCCTTCCCATGCCTCCCCGAGCCATTGATCTTGTCTTGTGCTTAGGTCAGGGCAGGCGAGAAATTCACCAAAGCCTTCAGCCTGCTTGTCAGGTCCCGTGCCTTAGATGTGACACGAGGGCCTCATGCTCTTGCCAATGCCAGAACAGCTTTGGAGGGTCGCTTCGGTGGTATCTGCTGTTGCCGCGTCGAAAGGCCGCGAGGCGAGAGCCTTGACCTGGGAAGAAGTCGGATTCTGCGACGCAGAAAGGCGAGAGCTTAACAAAACGCAAGGAACCTTCTCCACCAGACGTGGTGGATCTGCTCCTGCTAGTACCTTCTCTCACCGACAGCAATCGTCACAGCAAACGGTCCGGAAAATCCAAATAATGCTCTGCTGTCCTCATTTGACGGGCTTGACTGAGAGCCTCGCATCTAACCTTGCTCCGCGAGGAGTCAAAAAAGCTGCGAAAGGCACCTGCTCCAGCAGTTTCCGAGCCGACGTTGCACAAACATCCGCAAACACAGTCTGGGCATACATTGGCATTAGTTCGTCAATTTCGTCATAGGCCTGATCCGCTCCTAAAGCCGAAGCAAGGCCCGGGCAAACGTCCGCATTGGCCTGCGCATTCTCTGAGATCTCGAGTATCCGAGACTCCCCAAGATTATGTGGTGCATGGGCTGCTCGCTCGGACAGATGGACAGTCGTGAGTGGTCGCGGGATATCTCCCATCCCGACGAGCGTGAAACGACCGCTTCTCTCGTTTTTCGATTCGCTTTTCCGGAGTCTCTGCCTAACTCTACAGCATCTGCTGACTCTGGGTCTCCACACTGCTTCCGTGCACCGTTGGCAACCTTCATTATTGGCTATGCATGGTTCATGCATCTATACCTTGTCACACCTCATTTCTGCTGGAATCAGAGAGCATCTAAGCCAATCAGGGCAGATGAATTAAACACAGGACAGGCCACACTTCAGTCGCCCATGTCATTTGCACATGCTCCACTTGAGCATAAGTTGTGATAGCGGTTTACAAACGTGAAGGTGGAGCTTTGCAGCACCTTTTACTAAAACCAGTTAGCATAGAAGTTCTGATTCCTCGGCGAATCAAGCGAACATGAGTCAATGCCATGTCTCGACAAGGCAGAAGAGTTTCGACGTTCACCCGCTCTTGCAACTCATCGCACCATGTGCACCATTTGCATTGTTATACAGCCCCCTCATCTAGACGCTAGTCCGCATTGCCGTTGCAGCAAAGAGTCTGCGGACGCTTCCCCCTCCTGAATTCTATTGACTCCTGCTGCCGCTCGCGCAATTTCCTGGCCTCGGCTCGCAATATAGGGTGCATCACGCTTTCGCACGTTGTAGGCAGGCGGTCTCAGGAGGTCTCAGGCGGTCACCTTGAGTGTCTGTATTCGATGTTCGCATGTCCATCCTGCAGAAGCTGCGCTTCACTACGTTACAAAACCAGAGCATGGTTGCAGCGACGGCAACCAGTAAAGTAACCTTTCACAACTCGCCTCGGCCCGAGGGCTTGAAGGCGTTTTAAATCATAGTGACGAGCGGACATGTTTCTGATTTTGGTGTGGCTTGCTGATCTTTTTGCAGGCCCTGCAGTGCTTGTCGCGGCCAGGGCTTGCTTCCCCCAGCATCTCAGGAGCAGGGAAGGTTGCAATTTGAACAAGGTTCAGGGATCGGGAGCTCCTGGGAGCTCGTGGGTGCAGCTCAAGGTTCGGGTGTGTGTGTGTGTGTGTAGGCAATAGGCTATGGCCTATTGGAAGTCTTGTGGAATCAGCACGTGGATCTTAAAAACCTTGCTGCTCCAGGGTCTGCAGCCTGCTACAGCAGTTTGGCAATTTGCACCTTTCAGCGTAGCGGCCTAAGACCAGTGAGGTCTTAACACTGAACCAAGGTCTGTCGCATTTCGAAGCCTCTGACCGGCGCAGATATGCACTGGAGATAAAGGGACATACTTGTCACTTGTCACAAACACTTGTCACAAACATGGCTGAGCTGCGCAGCAGACAGTTGAAGATGATGGCGCCGAGGATAATGCCAAGCAACAGATATTCCTGCCCAAATCTGCCCACTGGCGAGTCGGTGAGTCTGTCAAATCTCAGCTCCCTAGCTGACACCAAACCCGGAGGCGGATGAAGCTTGCAGATGCGCGCTCACTGTAGAAATCTGCTAGCCCAGAGCCACATGATGTTCTGAGCGTTCTGAGTGTTCTTCTGTTGTGAACTTCTTGTGAACAGTTGGCAAAAGTGTAAACTTCGAGAAACAAGAAGACTTCACTAGTCACTAGTTACGAACTAGGCGTGCCTGGACCCAGGGCATGCCCCCTCAAATTGTCTTCTGTGTTTTTGCTCTCGGCGAAATCGGGGGAAGTGGTTCTAGCGGTGGACGGGCATAATTGCAACCTGAAATATGAACAGTTTGTGCCTGCAGTCCTGTCACGATGTATGCGGATGTCGCACTGTGATCTACGGATCTCCATGCAGCCATCACCAAGGATCCTATGGTGCAACAAACTGAGGCCGCGGCACGTTCTACAACCCACTGGCGCACGCTGCAAATGCCCTCCATGCATCGCAAGCCCACCTTGCAGCATTGCGTCGCATTGTATGTAAGGTTCTGAACCCATTTCAGCAGAATCAGCAAATCAGCCGTCAACGTGGCTTGACCCGAATAGATGCTCCTGGCAGTACTGGCTGAACGGGCTTTACAAGCCAAATGAGAATCGAGTGGTCCACTCCTCCCATTCGTAACCAGAATAGGCAACGGGCCAGGGCTGGTGCAAGCTGTCCAGGTATTGAGATCCCTGACCTCAGCCAGCTGACTAGCAGAATCCGATGTCAGCTATCCAGATTGTCGCAAAATGCGCATGTCGCAAAATGAGAGGCCAAGTGCTGTTACCAGGCTAAAGCCTCAAGGCTTCTGGCCATTTTGCAATGCTGATGGAAAGTAAATGGCAAATTGCAGTGTTCAGGACATCAGGATATCTGCTTCTAGCAGGCTTCTCCATTGATCCTATTCACCAGATTTCTCCAGCAGGCGTTATCAGCGTTGCATCGACGCCCGAGTGGCTCCGATCCAAAGTGTTATTTGTTTCTTATCGCTTGCTGAATTGACTGCTTTACCCTGCTGACCCGTACTCCTTGCGTACTTCTACTTACGTATCACTTGTGGAAACGATGACTAGTACAACTACCAACTACTTGTTTCTTCCTTCTTTGGCTCCAACTCCTACGACGTACTCGTGCTGTTCCCAGTGGAGATTTGGCATCTGATGAAGGTGGGCAAGCTGAGCTTTCAATCGCTTGGACCAGCTCCAAGACATTCCAGAACGCTGATGCCAACGCGCAAACCGCAATCGCCACAAGATCGCAGAACGTAATGGATGCGTAATGGCTTCCAGGATCTTCCACGGCAAATTCCTTGAACCCGTGGAACCCAAGTTCCAAACACTTCCAACGCTTCCGATATCTTCAGATTGTGTGTGGTCGCCTTTTGGCAAAAGCCGCAGGCAGCCCACGACGCTCTTACATCTTTGCAGGCCCAACAGCCAAGCCACTCGAGAGGCCACTGAACTGCCCTACTGATACTGCACTGCGAAAGTAGCAAACCACACAAGTTTCCTTTAGCGGGGGAAGGGGGCTCTGATGCGAGTTGGGTGGTGTGATCTTTGGGTTGGTAGCTCCAAGGATTGATTACGCGAAGTGATTGGAAAGGGTTTGGGCAGTTCGCACACGACAAGAGGCAGGTTTAAAACAGGACATGTACAATTTGTATAACTTCAAAGCAGGGCTGGGGAAAGCGAGGCCATACGCTCCCTGCGCTGGGCCAAGCACTGTCTTTCTGGACCGGCAAGTCTTCGCCTGTCACCTGTGTCAAGCTTCCTTCCCCCTGAGGAAACACCTTTCTGTGCACCTGGCCCGAAGGCACTCCGTCTTGTGTGCTGCTAGGCACTTTGCTCAAAGGGCCCGCCAAGTTAAAGGGGGTCATTGGCCTATGTATCGGCTGTTCCGGCCTGTCAAGCCTTGGGCCCCCCTGGAGTCACCACATGTCACCACCCTTGAACGACTCAACTCCTGGGGAGAAGACGCCACGCTGGTGTACATTGCCAGAGCATACTGGCCGTCGCAAGGCACGCTGGAGTGAGTGGAAGCGTACATAGCAGCCGCATCCAAAGAAGGGCCACGGACCGGGACTGCATCCATTTTGGCGCAGAGGCCGAATCCGGCCACGCCGACCCGTCTCACTCGAATTTAGCACGAATGTTGTTGGGACGCGCCACTTCGGTGGCTCTACGGTCCGCAGAACAGAATAAATAGAACAGAACAACTTCAGAGCTGATCCTCCTGGATGCCGGGAGGTCTCCAACTAAACACTTGCAACAGCCAGGACTTGCTCGTTTTCATTGGGGAGTCACCGAGTTTAACGAGGCGCGAGTTCCGTTCCGCGACATTCGCTGACGAGCGGGGTGTTGTGAGTCAAGGGATGTCTTCACTGCTTATACGAATTTGCAGCTCGCACAGCTACGTGGGACTCCAAAACAAGGCACTTCAACGGCCGCACGCTCTAATGCGGTCCCTATTTGCCTATTGCCTTGCTGGTGGCCGTCATGCGGTTGGTGCTGTTTGTCCGGCATGTGCCGGACAGGTTCGTGCTTGTTCAGGTAGCTTCGAAGCGCTTTAGCTCTCAAGCTGCTGCTCTTGAAAAAAACGGAATGGAAGGTGTTTGAGTGGACGTAACAAACTTCCCGCAAACTGGCGCAACGCCCTGGGATGCCCACACAGCATATTTACTTGCCCTATGGATGGCCGGCATGGGACACCTGAGCAAATAGGCGGCAACAGCTTCAAAAGAGCTTACATCATGCTGCGCCTTGAAGTCCTGTGCCCGAAACTTCCGCCTAGCCAGCCCATGACAAAACACATCAAGTTGACAGGGGCTTGGCATGGTCTAGCTGCCAAAAACGTTGCAACGCAAGCCTGGCAGTCTGCCCCAATACTCTCCATGGCATGGAAACTCAAAGGGAAGTGCGTGGGAATCGTCGCGTTGTTGAGAACTGCCATTGTGAGCCACTCGAAACGCCGATAGCAGGACCATACCTCAGACTGCTGCTGCCGTAAGCAAAGCAATGGCCGACCATAAAGTGCAAACTCGATTTGCCAGTGGCTGGGCAGCCGACATAAGAGCGGAAGGCTGCATAGCACAGCAGGAAAAGCAAAGTGAGGACATTCCAGACGTGAAAGAGGTACTTCACCTATGCCAACGCAGCAATCCCAAAATGTGCATATGTATACATATCTATCCATAAAGAGAGATGTATAAATATAAATACAAATATACATATATATATATATGTGTTTTTTAATTGTCTATTTCTTTATTTTGTATGTATATATGGCAATATATGTATATACAAATAGAAACATGAATATGCACAAATACATAGCGGCCGACGTACCTCTCGAATCAAAATCGAATGGGATTTTCGTTTCGGAAATCATGAACTCGAGGATTCCCAGATTCCTCGATTCCCAAATTCTCAGATTCCCACGTTCGCAGATTCCCACTTCCCAGATTCTCAGACCAAGATTCCCTGAATCTGGGAAGAAAGTGCCAGCAAGGGAATACAGGGCGAGTTGTGTGTCTGAAGTTGCTGCTTCCAGTCTAGTAGTTAGTCTTTCGACAAAATCCAAGAATCCAAACCTCGCTGGAAAATATTCCTTAAAGTCTGGGTTTTGGAAGTCAATTGAACTTTGGAGTTTTGGGTTTTGAGTATTTGGGATTTGGGATTTCCCCTCCCCAACCCCTAGTACAGAAATCCAAAAATCCAAATCTGTGACGAGGTTCTGTCCGAAAACTTTTGGATTCTTGACTTGCTTTGGGAATATGGATTTCTGGTGGAACATTGGGTTTTAAAGGGAGGTGTTGAGGGAGGAAGGGAGGGAAGGAACCCTACAAACGAAATGCTTCCAACAAAACATACATTGCACTAGGGATAAAGCATCTATCTCATTCCAACTAAAGAAGTATCATGAAGTATCCTTTCTCCCTGCAGAAATGGACTCTTCTAGGATTTACATGAAATACTTTCCGGGGCTCCATGTGCAAATTGGAAAAAGAGTTCAATCGGACCTTGTAACATGAAATGTGGACATTTTACTTCACTAGGAGAAGTTCCTGACTCTCAAGCGGACAGTTCACAAAGCCATATACTGGACCTTGGCTCTACTCATTTCTATGAACGTTCCTACTCAAAATCTTATTGGCTTTTTGAGCAGGCTATGGCTATTCCGCAACAGCAATATTGATCAGAAATACGAAGAAAGTATCAAACAATGTACTGTATACAGGAGCTTTCACTGTCGAGGTTGGTCCATCGGGTGGGGGGGGGGGGGGCGGCGGCGACCACATTACATTCCCTGTTTCCTATATATATATATATATATATACACACACATATACATATATAGACATATATAATGTCTACATACATTTATGTATATATATATATACATATACATATATATATATATATGTCTACATATAATATCTATATATATATATACATATATGCAGCTCAAATCCGCTCGAGCACTGCTCGAGCCATATGCATGACAAGCCCGACAAGCCCTAAGCATGTCTAAGCCTCATGCATTGGTGCGCATTCTGCGAACTTCTGCCAAGTCCTCTTCGAAGGGCTCATCAATGGCGTGGCCTTGGTGCCGCAGCCCCTCGTGAACATGCGAACACGAGAAGGGCCAAAGTTCTGGTTAGGCACCCTGAGGCCCAGGCCCGCGGAATCGAGCAAATAGTAGGTGTGCTTGTATTCTGCGACCGAGCGCTGGGTGAACCTGCGCGAGCTGCATTTTGCAAGCAACACACCTGTGCAAACTGCCAGCAAACAGACTCGCTTCCATCAGGTTTAAACGAACGTATGCCTGGTCATGTCGCTGGTCGTGGTTCTGATAGTATCTACCGATCTGACGTTGTCCAAATCGCGAACCTGCGGAATCAAGCGCGGACAAGAACACAGTATCCACATGTATACACACTGTTCCACAGGCACAAAGCTGGTGGCAGCTGGAGCCCACGGGTCCCCCCACTGGCCTCGATAGGCTCGCCGAATTCAACCAGGAGCCACGCAGGAGTCTCGCGGTCGAGGTTGCCATGGTCCACCGACTTTAGCTGGAATCGCTTCATTCTCTCTGACCTCAGTGGCTTCTGATTACACTGGAGGTGCACGTGGCACGGGATGTGAGGCAGGGGCGGATTTCGTGCCCAGTCAATGATGTTCATAGCGCCCACAGTGATCTTGGCAAAGAGGACAGCATTGAGCATCGACACTGTGAGATGCGCTGACTCTGATGCTACATGCGATAGTTGTCAGCATCTGGCTGTGCAAAGTTCCTCCGACCCAACCACGTTCAGGCGAAAGACGGAGATTCGCACCTGAAGGCAGCAAGGCAGTGAAGAACAGAGAAGGCATAGCAAGCCGCCGTAAGCAAGCGACATTCTCTTCCAGGAAGCAGTGCCGAAGTCGCACTGTCAAGACTTCTGGGTAGTGAATGACCTGCTCCAGTCTGTGTTTCTGCTAGAACTGCCAAAGCTTCGAGAGTCTGGCAGAGGTCGAACAGATGATTTAACAATTTCAGAAGGTTCCCATGTTTTATCAAGATCCTCCAGCAGCCGGATGCACCAGGTATGGTAGCGCTTGCGAGTTCACATGCTCATGCCTTGCCTTGGCCTGTCTGTCTTCTGCGACTGAGGTCTTCATGGCGGGGTTGGACTCGGATGATTCGGCAGGAGTTAGGAAAAAAAGCCGTCCTACAGCGACAGGGCCAGAAACAGACGAAGGCCCGGAACACAAAGGCATTGCGACAAACCCTCAACAGCTCAAAAGACCTGCACCTTTGCAACCTTCCTGAAGCCGTTGGGACATGGAGAAGAGAGAGACTTGGAGGCCTCTGCAGAACTTTAAACAACTTGACTCTGAAAGAAATCATTCGACTCTCCGCGTCGGCTCCGGTGAGGGCATGGCCGGGCAAGCGTTTGCGGTCACACTACGGTGCCTTTTCCGGGAGGGCTCTGGTTCGAAGACCCTACAGACGAAATGCCGCGCAGGACAACCGGTCAGCCTCTTAGGAAGGCCCAGAGGTGATGCCTCGTTTGATGTACAGCACGATCTGCCGAAATCACAATGGATGGTTCGGGTCCAGTCGGCTCCAATATGAGGATCGTGACGATCACATGCCAGGCTCACGTGACAGTTCCCACTTTTGAGACAAGAGGATTCACATACGAGAACAGCTTCCAGCGTGGCGAAGACGGACATACCACACAACACACGACGCATCGCGAACCTGGATTTCAATAATTTTCGAGGTTTGGGACTTGACAAGGTTAGAATTGCTTGGGAAGTGTTCCATTGGTGCTTACAGATTTCCAAAACATCTGTTAGGAACCCGCCCCTGCCCAGTGCTACTAGGGGGTGGGGGGGGGGGGGGAGTTGCCACACCACAATGTCAGCAACTGAACGGCTTCAAACTTCTCAAGACGTGCAAGGCGGAGTCTTCACAACCTTCCAGTTCCTTTGTATCTGAAGGGTTGAGAATGGCTCAGTCAGATTGGACAGCATCAGAAACCTCACAGATTACATCCGGATGAACTGACGATGTCGAAACTGCTACCTCGCACCCAACAAAACAACCAAAGATGCTTCAAGTCGTCGTTTGTGTAAGTATGCAAAATAATGCTGACTCGGCCTGGTATGGCCTGGTGGCTCGGAACAGACTCAATCATGAGCCGCTGCAACAAATCCCAAGCACGTCCCGAGCACCCTGTTAACTTTGGCAAGTGTCCGAGCACTCCACGGACAAGAAAATGTCGGCGCGACCGTCCTGTTATAATGGCAAGATGGTCCGTTGTCAATGGCAGCAGCACTAGATTTGCTTTCCTAAAATCATACCACACGTGTAAGCAGTGCACACAAGCTTTGTCTTCAGCCGGCTGAACTTCTGAACTATCCAGCCGCAAGCCAACACGACAGGTTGGCAAATGGAAGATCGCCAACCACCAAGTTCCTCAATTCGACCTGATCACAAGTCACACAAGATCATGGATGATCATGGTACATGACGAAACAGAACGAAATAGTGCACAAATCTTCACACCACCGCACTCACTGGCTTGGATCAGGGCTCTGCAAAACTTTCTGTCCGAGACCGACTGAGGTCAGCGCAGTGTAGTTGGAGAGGCCGAGCTGCTTCCCGACCATTCGGACCAGATTCTGCCTCGACATGGCTCGTCCAGGCCAAAAAGGATTTGGCAAGCAAACATATCTAGTTCATCTTTACCAAAAATCCTGCGGAGCGAGCTCCCCGCCCTCTACCCTGGCTCTGTCGGGCCTAGCCCCCCGAGCCTCGCGTTTGGTCTTGGAAGGTGGGAAAAATGAAAACTGTGGGTGAAGTTACTGCAAAGCAAGCAGCAACTCGGAGTCCGCATGAACGAAAGCCCACGTGGGCCCGTGCTTCCGTAGCTTCGAAACCAGAATCAATTGGGGGATTTTGTTTAGCTCTCTTTTTACTAATGACATCTAATGACTTATTTTCATGAAGAGCCCATCTCAAGAGGGATCCGAAGCAATCTGAAAAACAGCGCGCTGGCTCCAGAGATGGTCGGCGTCTCTGCACGTGACCCCCTCAGAGCTAAGGGACTTGCCCAGGCCTAGGCCTGGCCTAGGCCTGGCTTGGATCTAGCAAAATCTGGCCTGTCTGGATGCGTTTTTGCCAACGGAATATTTGCCGTGACGATAGGCCTTGTGACAAATTCTGACTCACTCGGGTGCATGTTCACAGCCGCCAGAGCTGTCTTTGAAGGGCGGTTGTGTAAACGCGGTCGGCAGTACCGATGGTCAAGTGCACTCGGGCAAGGCAAACGCATGGAAATGTCTGGAAGTGGCAGCTCCACTTGAAGCTCTCATAATGATCAAAGCACTGTCAGATCAAGAAACACAAGCCCCTGCGGCCTGCGCCATCTTGGAGGGCAACAAGGCATCATCGTGAAACAACCTGTCCACTCGCCAGTACAAAGACCACCTCAGTCTGCGTGGATTCACAGACGAACAAAGAAAAAAGGGAGCGGGGGGGGGGATCAAGAACAATTGGTTTACGGATCAACGATGGAACTGCTGCAGGGTCGAGTAGGAGGAGGAGTAGTACTAGCAGGATCCATAGGGACAACGTTGCACGACGGCTACTTGTTCGTGTGATTTCCCACGCGGTGTGCCATGTTCAGCTGTTCCGGAAAAACCCTTTAGGTGTTGGTGTTTCTGCTGTTGCTTACCTTCACAAGTAAACAGCATTCGGAAACTGAAAGAAGAACATCTGAAGAGAAGCTAGATACAGCAGAACACGCATGGGAAACTGCAATGGAAGCAAAACAGGCAGAGCAACACGGGAAACACCTAAAGAAAATGCAAAACCGCACAGAAGTGAGCGAGAAACCTGGCAAACAAAAATCGAGATACTTCGAGAGCAGAAACATGGGAACGCATAAGACAAACAAAGGTAAGAAACAGCAAAAAAACACCAACAACCAGAAAGTTGAATTTCCATGTTCAAATGGCTACGAATAACGTACGTTTACGTGAGAACACACAGCAAAGTTGAGGAAAACTAGCCGTCCCTTAATTGCAGTAGTGGTCGTAGTAGAAGACTTTGTTGCTGTCGTAGCAGTCGCAACCAACCCCTCCTCCAAAGACCGCAAAAGTAGCAACGCCCCCAAACATGGTTCACAGGTTCCAAAAACACAGTCTCTTTCAGCTTTGCAGCTTCTAGCAGTGGGGCCTGCATATTGGATTCTCTTATTGCTGATGGGTGGGCATTCTGGAATTGGAAGGGTTGGGGGAGGGTTTTTGAGGGTTGTGAATGGTTTTGGGACTGAAATTGCTTGGAGGGTTTGGGCGGGAAACCCCCGCGCCAGGCCTAAACGGAGATTGAGAAAATGAAGGGCCTGTTTGTGTTATGTGAGTCTTCGGCCTGGCCGGAGTTTCCTACCAGACTTGCCCAAACTCTCCAAAACCCCCTTGCCTGAAACCTAAGTGGAAAAATCCAGTACCCAGAGCGTCTTCAAGTTAATTTTGGCTTGCTTCGGGGCCTGCAATAAACTATTTACAAAATTTAGGAATTAATGGAATTAAGAACACAGAAATTCACGGTACCCTCGGGAAATGAGGGTTATCGGAAAAAAAACGGGTGCCTCCACTTTACGAAATCCAGGCCGTACTTCAGAGGGTTTTGGCTGCGACTGAGAGCGCGGCAGCACTGAAAGCAGCAGCACCACACACAATCGAGGAAAGATCCATGGAGCTTGGAGTCGCCAGTCAGAGCTAGCATCAAATTGGCGCGGTACCTGCAACATTCTCTGCTTAGGATCTGCTGCGGCCCGAAAAGAACTCAGTGATGCAGCATGCCACAGCGGTTGAAGCACGTCCATAGGAAAACCAACGCAATGATGATGGCAGCAGTGACCAGCAGCTCTTCAGTGAGCTTGATAGGCAGGTCCACGATGTCGACCTTGTCCGCGAACAAATACAATGCCCTCAGGACCCGAGCATCTCTGTCGCTCTCTCGATGGCTCTCGCCCTCTTCCCCTTCCCCTTCCCCTTCCCCATCCTCTTCCTCATCCTATTCCGCTTCCGCTTCCGCTTCCCCTTCCTCTTCCCCTTCCCCGTCCCCGTCCCCTTCCCCTTCCCCTCCCCCTCCCCCTCCCCCTCCCCCTCCCCCTCCCCTCCCCTCCCTCCCATCCCCCTCCCCCTCCCCCTCCTCTCCCTCCCCCTCCCCCTCCCCCCCCCCCCTTCCCTCCCCCTCCCCCTTCCTCTGCCTCTGCCTCTGCCTCTGATTATTTTTCTTCTTCTTCTCCTTATTCTCCTCCTTCTTCTTCTGCTGCAGTGCATAAAGAGACGCAAAAACACCACCCACACACACACAGACGGACAGACACACACACACACACACACACACACGAATAGGTTTGTTGTAGGGTCTATCTGGAGGGAAGTAGACACCTATGGACAAACGCTAGGGTCTATGCCGAGGGTCTATGCATATCTGTCTATGGCAAAAGAAAAGGGGCCTATTCATAGGGGTCTATAGAGAAACGGCTGGGGCCTCGCACAGGGCGGCATGGGGCTCCACTGATGAATCAAGGGAGCTCGGATCATAGGCCCTCAAAAACAGCAGGTGTCTATATAGCGGTCTATCGACGCCTATCATAGGCGGGTACTTATCTGACCTATCTTCAATTAAAACTCAAAACACCCGCCAATCTCTTTCAGATAGCCCTTTTATCGCATAGGAATTCGAACCCATCACGCGTGTGCTGTGCTTGAGAATGGGGGGGCAGGGGGGGTGGGGGGTGCACCCCCCCTAACCCCCCCGCTTGCTAAGCCGTGCAAGCTTGTTTCAGGTGTTTTTTTTCTAACACATCATGCAAGCATTGTGTTTGCAAATGGGGGGTTTCGCCCCCCCCCAACCCCGCCTTTTTATTCTAACTCGAACCCATCATGTGTGTGTGTGTGTTGTGTTTGCGAATGGAAGGGGGCTGCCCCAACCCCCCGCGCCTTCAGGCATTTTTCTTTCAAACCCATCACGCGAGCATTGTGCTTGCAAATGGGGGGGGGTCTGCGCCGCCCCAGCCCCCGCTTTATTCTTTTTCGAACCCATCATGTGAGTGTTGTGTTTGCAAATGGGAGGTGCCCCACCCCCCGCCCCCGGTTTGTTAAGCCGTGCAAGCTTGCTTCAGGCGTACTTTTTTCAAACCCATCATGCGAGCATTGTGTTTGCAAATGGGGGAGGGGGTGCGCCCCCCGCAACCCCGGGGCCTTTTTCTTTTTTCGAACCCATCATTCGTGTGTTGTGGTTGCAAATGAGGCCTAAAACCCCCAAGCCCTGAACCCGAAAAACCCCTAAACCCTAAATAAACCCTACAAAAACCCTAAACCATCAAAAACCCGTAACCCCTAAACCCTAAACCCAAAACCCTATAAAGCACCCTCAGCCTCAACCGCTACCCTAACAACCCCGAAACCGTAGACCTCAAAAACCCCTAAACCCTAAACCCTAAAAAACCCTAAACCCTAAACCCTACTGAGCCACTCCTAAACCCAAAAACCCTAAACCCAAAAAACCTTAACCCCAAACCCTTACAACCCCTAAACCGTAGACGCTAAAAACCCCTAAATCTAAACCCTAGAAAATAAGTCGAGCCTTGCTGTTCCGAGGTGTATCTTATAAATTTGCTACTATAGGGGTCTATAGGTTTGTGGGTAGGGTCTATCTGCAGGGGGGTAGACACCTATGGACAAACGATAGGGGTCTATGCCGCATAAGGGGGCACCAGCAGGCTGCAGACAACCACATTGGGGCAGCCAGATGCTGGGATGTTGTTCGTCTACGGCAGCCAAATGCTTGTGTGTCATGATCCGAAAGGGGCCCCGGGACCGATCTGACTCACATAGGACAGTGATCTGAAGGTGTGATCTGATTGGGTGACCTGAATCAACCCCCCGCTGATCTGTTACCTGCAGCTGCCCCACACCTGCCCACACACACACACACACACACACACACACACACACACACACACACACACACACACACACACACACACACACACACACGCACACACACGCACCCACACACGCACCCACACACACGCGCACACACACGCGCACACACACACACACACACACACACATCTGAAAAAAATGATCTGGCGTCTCAGCTTCAGGCGGCCGACATGGTAGCTTAGTCTGCACCGGGCGACAAAAAAAGGAAGTGGCTCAATCCGGCAGAAGGCTATGGTGCATAGTGCATGAACTTGTTACCTCTACTTGGCCCATGAACATAGCTGCTGCGTGCGAAGAGGCCATACTCAAGGCTTATGCTGAGCCAAATGGCGCGTTGGCAAAAATGGATGTCCAGAATTGTAGAGAAGCAGAGTTGTACCACATGAAACCACGCATAGAAAACAAGGAGTAGATGCCAGGCCAAAATTCTAGCAGCAGAGGAGCGACAGGTTGGCTAAAATCTCCATTTGCTTTGCAGTACTCCAAAAGGCGAACTGTCTTGAACAAATTCAGCTCCGAAATGCCTCAATGATTGTCAGTTTCGGCCTTAGCGAAGCACGCATTCTTCTGCTCACCAGCAATAGCTTCCAACACCTGACTGAACTTCACGATGGAGCTGAAAAGCTTGCAAACCAACTCCACTCATCAAACTGCAATCAACAGCCTTGATGAGATGCACGCTGGGCGCGTGCCAAGGTGCCCAAAGCAGCAGCGTAGTCAACCCTTTGTGGCTCGAACACAGGGCCTGGCGCGACTTGTTTCATTCTGTGCACAAGACCCACAAGGCTCTCAGTCGCTCCCTCCGTTGCTGCACAGGACATGGTACAGTGCTCGGCTCTCATGCGACAGTGTCAAGTATCGTTGTTTGTGATAATACCGTCGTTCAAATAAGTAGGTCGCCTGCAGCTCTGCCTCCGAGAAAACTTCCGTCACCAACGACATTTTTGACCTTGGCGGCCGGCCAAGTCATGGCCAAGTCATGTCAGCTTCAGCGACCCCAATGTTGTTCTAGAGTAATGAAGACGCCACGTCCACGTCCACGTCTCACAGCCACCGCCACGATGACACCATGCACCGAAACGGCAGCAGCACAGGCAACGGAACAGATCCAGAGCAGCAGCAGCAGCAGCAGCAGCAACAGCAACAGCAACAGCAACAACAAAAAACAACAACAACAACAACAACAACAACAACGACGACGACGACGACGACGACGAGCAACAACAGTAACAGCAACAGCAACTAACGTTCAATCAAACCAGCAGGGAAAGGCTCGAGTTTTTTCAGCTGCTTCCAGAGCTGCGGCGGAAGTTTGCGAAGCACTCGGACGTAGAATCCGCACTTTTCGGATCGTATGATTCGTATGATCATTCAATCAATGAGTCTGGAATTTGCGAGAACGGGCTGGTTCCTGGCACGTGCTTTCGAAGCAGAGGAAAGAATAGGAGCGGGAAGAGAGATTGTCGAGGCTTTGCCAAGATCGCAATCGGTATCCAAAAAACGAACAAGCAACAAGCGTGCAACATCCTCGGACACATGGGAGCAATTCACAAATGCTATCCACACGACAACTCGTTCACTCAAACCAGCAGCGAAACACTCACAAGTTTTCCAGGTTCTTTGGAATTGGAGCGGAAATCGGCGACGCACTCCAGACTCCAATGTCTCATGTGCTTTTGTCAAGTCGTATTGATCATTCAAGGCAATTCATCTTTGATTCTTTGGTCTTCAATGATTGCAGCCACATCCTCCAATCACGTGCAATTGGCCACAAGCATCTACAGAACCTTCGCTGCCTACGCAAACGCAGCATCCCCAACAGCAACTAAGGACGACGACGACGACGGCAACGACAAAAAGGAGGATGAGGAAGAGGATGAAAAAGAGGAAGATGATGATTATGATGATGATGATGATGATGACGATGATGATGATGATGATGATGACATCGAAGCACAACAGCATCACAACGGCAAAGACTCTACCACTCCCCGTGCGTCCAAAGCACTGTAGTGCTGTTCAAGATGTTCTCGCGAGAGTGTTCTACCCACCCTTATGAAACCACTGGCGTTATACCTGCGTCATCCACCAACTCACCTACACGAATGAAGAATGGCGTGACCACATACAAGGTCTGTTGAGTGTAACAACTCATGTCTCTGATCATGTCGGACACGCGGCCTAAGCCTGAAAGCCTGCGGAGTGCCGCAGAGGGTCCGCTTACATGCAAGCGTTCAAGCTAGCGTTCAAGCAGGTGTTCTTGAGATCAGCTCTCACGGTCCTGTTGTCTATTTTTGTCCCCCTCAGCATCCTTCAGCAAGCGCTGATCAGATCGCCGCCACTTGTGAGCGAATCGGGGCCACGAGCTCTACCGGCAGCCTTGGAAGTGTCTTGTATTGCCGGTGGCCTGTCTTCTCTCCGCTTGAGCCCCTTCAGCACACCTCTTCATTGAAAGCTTAGCTGAGGCTCCGTGCAAGATTGGTCCTCGACGACTCCCTGCCTAATACACAAATCCGAAGGGCCAATTGCACAGCGCCACTTCCAATTCGACTCATTACTCCCGGCCTGGAGCACATTGAACTTGACAACCTCCCAACATGTTGCACGTCATTGCACGTCATTGTACCTTCGTTTGCGAGTGTTTGGATCTCCACAGCCTGCATCCAGCTGCCAGCATGCGGCAGCACAGACTGGCAAGCCCCAAATTCCAAGGCATCGCGGCAGCTGATGATCAAGGAATATGAAAGATATCGCTGGGATGCCTTGAGAGCCGTATGACGCTGATGGAGCAGCATCCTCCAACAACCACATCGGCGTCATCACACGAACCGAAAGGCTGCAAAGAAACGTCCCCATTTTGCCTGATCGTTGAGCCTTGCAGAATTCCTCGAAGAGAACATCCCTGTTGCAACGGAAAGGCTGATTGGCCTCATCTCAGCAACACACAATGCATGTGGCACCAGCCTCCACGACATGCACCCAGAGTAAAAGACCTTCCATACTTTCATGGACCTGAGCAGCTCAACACACGTCCAACAACAGCCGAAGAAGCTGTGTATGCGCCTGCTGCACCTGAACGAGCAACGGCTGCCTTGCAGAGATTTGGGCTTGAGGAATCAGCACGTTGCAGCCTCTATTGTTCCGCATGAATATCATGCATGTAGTGGGGCCTAACCCTTCAGCCGACATTTGCGACATTTGCTGAGCTGCAGCCAACAGAGCAGGATGTGACAAATTGATCGACTCCAGGAGTGGCTATGCCACATGCCGCACATGCCGAGCAGGATCATGCGCGGATCGATTGCAGCATCCACGAAACCAGATCATCATGCGAAAAAATGTGCATGCACGCGCAAAGCTAGGATTTCCTGTTTGAGGTTTGAATTTGACGAGTACTGCAAAGGTCAGACTGATCTTGCAGTGTCAGCCGATCAACCTACCATGATTGAACAACCATAGTGGGCGTGTATCAAGCTGGATAGAAAATACAACTTAGAGGAAAATAACGACTGTACGACTTCTAGTTAAGATACTGAGAATTCCAAAATGATCTTCAAAAATTACGCCAATCCCAATTCGATCGACGCGCCTCGTGCCGCGGTCAGACATGAGCTTCTGCAAATGGCATGGCTGTTTGGGGCTTGTTTTTTAGTGCATGAGATTCGCCAGATCGATTGAACGGCTTGGTGTTGGATTGCGAGCTTGGCCGCGCATCCTTCGCAACCTTCGTTTTTTGTTTGTTTCGTGCTAGCGATGTCTTTCCAGTCACCTGACATAGCAGGCGCCTGCCGGCAACGCCAGAGCAACATCCATAGTCTGACGCGACATGACATGTCGTGGGTGGTGAGTGGCCCTCTGTGTTCCAATGCTCGACCGACACGAATGACTCATCAGCTGCGTACTCAGGAACCAAGCAAGCCTCTGCCATGTTTAGCGTCGAAAAGACTTCGGAAGATGCTGGGATGCGACACGCAGGAATATTCATCATCGCATATCCTTACGTCAGCAAACCTCCATCAAAACAGCGGTATCTCGTGGTGCTCTGTTTCATAGGTATGTCGCACCCCAGTGTTTCATACGTATGCAGCCATGTGTGATCTTCTTCAAGGTGACCCTCGACATTGCAATCACTAGAACATGCTCGCAACTCTCAGCACCTGGCTCGTTTTCTTTTCGAACAGCCTGCCATCGGCGCACAGAAGAAAACACCACCACCAGCGAGTGGCAAGCACTGTCTAATTTTGTGATTTTGCAACAAGCAGCAAGCCTGAAAGCTGCTTTGGCTCTTTACGCCTGCTTGGCGACAGCTCAACAGCAAGAACGGGGACATCTCCTATTGCGAGCATGCTGCAAACATGCCTTGCTGTTTCAAAGCTACGTCAGTCAGGTAGTGCCGCACCTTCATCATACAGCAGTGGGCTGAAAGCACTCTACAACATGCTTGAAAAGGTACCTGGACAGGATACTCGGCTGCGTACAATGGAGGTGTACTGCTCCTGCAGACCCTGTGGAAGTGCTCTTAGGCGTGATTGCCGCAGGCCAGGAGCAACATGCACCTGCAGAACGCTACATATCATCGCTCCACACCAAACGCACAAGAGTATGTAGAGCTTACCCCCGAGACTCCACTGACAGTCACTTGCAGCAATGTCAGCAATGTTCAAGTCTCAAGTTACTCCAAGTAATTTACATAATTCATTACTAGATCCAAATTAGGCCCGCGCGGACATCTCCATCCGGTCGACCAAGCAATTCCGTCGGAGTGCTGCTTCCTGGCAGTGTCTCAAACGCCCCAAACGTCTCTTAAAGCGGAGTCTCAAACAGAGAGGAGTCTCTTAGAGCGAGTTTCTGACATGCTCTGACCCTGCAAAAGGCTTGACCCTTCGGCCTCGGATGTTGCTGCCCACGCAGAGTCTGGAGAGAACTGGCACTGCGCAGACTGGAAATCACGTAGCTTCAGAACGCTACAAACCAAAGACAGCCAAGTTCTGTCTTGCCAAGTATGGTGCTCGATCCTACGAAATCCGCCGATCCCCCGCCAGGACGTGGTGTCTCGATCCAGTGTGGCACACTGCGCACCGTCATCATCCGGACCCATTCTTCTGTGTGATCTCGGAACCATCGGATGTGTTGTTGCACGTTAGCGTGGCGCGCGTGGTACAAACCTAGCACGAGTCAGACCAGCAGCAGCATCATCATCATCATCATCATCCCAAGGCTGTCAACCCCGGAGAGATGTGTCCAAGAATCGCACAGCAAAGGTCGTCAGGCCCTGTGGTGTAATGCGTACACTCCCGAGGTCTCTTTGTCCTGAATGTGCACCACTCTACCTTTGTTTGGTTCTGCACTCCATGTCATTGTGAGCACCCCCTTCTGCAGCTGGCCCCCAGAGTGCACCAATCTTTCGCCTTTTCGCTGGAGGTTGCCGTGAATAGGGCGCATCAGTGTGCGGAGCTTCAATCAAGGTCCTACGAGGATTGGCACCTCTTCAGCAAGCTCCGTTTGATTGCCCAAAAGCCGCCCCTACATCGATATTTTTCAAAAGGCAGGGAAAGATGATTGCAAAGCTGTTGGAAGACGTGTTCCCCGGGCAGCCACGCAAAAGCGAGTTTTCACGACCGCGGGGGATGAGATGAGCTGAAAAACTCAACATTGCCTCCTCTGCTGTGGTTTCGCAGTTCGACATGATCGAGCAGCTCTCTTCTCATCTGCATACAGGATCATACAAGCAAGCATCAAACCCATTTGCCCTGTGTCATCATGAGCACGCTGTGGAGTGTCTCAGCAAGCATCACCAGCAACGACAAGACCCTGGTCGAAAGTCATTGGAAGACCGATTGGAGAGCTCACAAAGGCTGCGCTTCCTGAAATGATGCGGGCTTACGCTCCGAGAAGTCCTACTACCCTCTCCTTAGGCTAATGCAAGAACCTTAGATCCCCCT